GCTGAAATAGTAAACATACCACAAAAGTAGATCTACTTCTGTTGATTTTTTTCTTCCAAAAAGCATACTCAACACAGTCAATATACATTATATTTTGAATGCAGCACAGTGTATTTTTTGATTGTAAAATACTGCTTGAAAACAGGTCATCTGAATAATAGTCTCAAATATATAAATACACATATATACATATACACACATATGCATATGTGTATATATACACACATATACAATCATTAAGTTAATGTTGTGTTCTGTTAAGGGATTTAGGAAACAATCTGACTAGCAGATTAAAACTTCTATCGAAGGAACACTCTTCACTACAGTCCCTTGGTCAGAGCCAGCTAGGTAAATTCCTCATACCAATAGGGCCACAGACTGGAGGAAAAAAAGGTAACTCCATATATTTAATTTCAGATTTCAAATAACAGTACACCACAGAGGACTAAGAATGATACCCAATTCACCAATAGATTTATCTTAAGGATAGTCAATTCTGCCACAAATGTACTGCTCTTCTCCAATCATTTATTTTTGGATATATTTTTCCAGCTGTTTACATTCACCTCTACATCAATTATCTCCAACTGAAACCTATCTGAAGTTCAACTGAGCACTGCAATTCCAGATGAGGTATAGTAAGTCAGCAGCTCTCAAACTGGTGAAATCTTGATTTTTCCACAGGTGCCTTTATATAATGTAAGGCAGATTCTACATGAATTTAAATCACTGAAGGTATAATAGCTCCACAGGTCTATGCTAGTTTACACCAGCTAAAGATCTCTAAATAGATTTACAGAGAAAGTTCCTTTTTTTATTGCTTAGAATTATTTCTACAAGGAATGTTTATTTCTTTCCTGAAAGCCTTTCCTTCAGTATAGGGAACCACCACTCTGTTAATTTTATTGAATCTTGTCTTGAAATTAAAAGCTGACCAGTTTTTATGCTAACTATGTGGTGATTTAGGTTAAAAAAACCCCAAAAAACCACCACACAAAAAAACCCAACCACCCAAAACCCAAAGAACCCATCAAGTGTTTCCACATCTTCCCCACTTATTTTTATATATACATATATATTATATTTTTTCCTCCTGACTCCACTTGGAACTCTTTAGAGCATACTTCTAAAACCTCATCTAAAATTTACTCAGGTGGTAGTGTATTTATTCCACATTTAATCAGTGCCTTGGCTTCATCCATAATTTAAAAATATGAAGAATAAAAATCCTCTTTTCTATGAAAGAGATTTAGAATCTTAGAGATTTATAAAGCACTTTGAGATGGTCCTACATAAAAAGGTGCCACTATATATTACATGGATTTAAAGTGGTTTAATATTCTACTGCAAATAGAATAGAATGTTTTGTATTCTCAATATCTATTTTGCACATAAAAATTAAATACATTTTGGAATAAACTACTCAGTGTAAAGGGATTTGAAAATACTAGATGCTATGCATTTTACAGCAGCTCTTCAACCAAGCAGGAGTACCTGATACCAGAGAACAATTTTTAGAGGATCTGGAAGAGTAGTGCAAACATACAGATGTCATGATACACTCTTTTTCCATGATAGGTGAAAAATATTGAGTAATTTTGAAAAATATATTAATAGGTTCCTATTAAAATATATTAATAGGTTCCAACGATAATAGGTTCCAATGATAAAATTAAGCCATCGTTCTGGTTGAACAGATAAAAACTGCACAAAATAACTTTTGATCTGCTTTAAATTGCACAGAAGACTGATCACTTTTAAAGTGAGAAACAAGCATTTCTCGAACACAAGAATCACAAAGCTTAAATAATTCAGCAGAGCCATTCACATACATTCATGTATTATGAATACTCAGTTACAGTTTATTCCTTATACACACAGCTTTATGCTAATACATTTAATGCCTTTTTTTTTTTTTTAAGAATTTAACAGCTGAAATGGGAACAGTCTATACCTTGTTAGAATTATGGTTTTAATTTGACTGCTTTGGTCATGATACTTAAGTCAGAGCAGTTACTACTTTGAATTTGTTTCTGTGCAGTCCTAATTTACAATTTAAAGTTAAAGTTTTGGATGCTGTAGGGGAGCTTGTCTGTGGAGAATGGAGTAAAACAGTTAGGGTGGTTTAATCTAGAAGCAACTTCTCCATCTTCTCATCTCCTTTAATATTGGTGGTATGTACTTTTCCTACAAAATACACGCAGAACCATACATTTAAGTGCCAATACATTCTGACTCCAAAGAGAACAATTTGGACTGAGCAAGTGGTTATGAGAACACGAAATAGGATTCACTAGCGTAAATAAAATATCCCACACTATATAAACTTCAATGGCTGAGAGGAAACATGAGGCTAACACTCAAATAAATAACTCTCAGTGCTAACTTAATTTCAAATTGTTTATGCCCAAATGCAGGGCTCCATCTGGGAGATGCTGAAACCATTCAAGCAGCTTCAGCTACTCAATACCACTATAACAATAAGGCAGCCCAGAAACTGCTGTTTCTAATCATTTCCCTAATCATTTAGCTGGAGTAGATCTTCCTGCTTGGCTCAGAATTAAGTTTGCAGGAGCTCAGAAAACAGAATGTACTACATGATTATAATCATACCATCATATTATTTTCAGTATAGCTCAATCTTATCTGGGGACTCCTTTAAGGCAACTTTTCCCCTTACACTCAACAACTTGAACATGGGAAAAAATGTTTTTATACGTGAGGATGCAGTAAGATGATCCTCCAGATCCCACAATTGCACTTGAGACTATTTTAGAAGATAGCCACTTTCAGGAGATGACTGTGAAAGAGTAAGCCATGGAGAGTTCTTCTTGCTTACCTGAATGTTCCCCATCCCTCGCCAAGGTATAAACAAGATGACACTTACTGGCTAGGGACACTCAGGCAAAGATTTGCTGGTACTCACCAATGTGAATCAAAACAGGCTTGGGTTGCCCATAAATAAAGATAAATACAGCTGCCAGCAGAAATAACTTAAAATCCCGTAGAGAATTACAGAAAAGCTTGCACATCAGATAAAAGTAACGCTAGGGTTACATGCAGAATAATCTGGACACATGGAGCACCCGAGGAATAATTCAGAACTGACATGCGCAAAGTCAGTTGCAGAGTTAGTACTCTACAATGCCATGTCCTGATAATTACTAACACTAGTTTAAAGCTTTAAAGTCTAAAGGCCATGGTATATTTTGGATTTGTGCAGATAAGAGCAAAATCCTGCTCACTAACGTTAACTTGCATGACATTCTTCATACCCAAGTGTGATAGACACTGTGTAATCATGTACACTTGACACTAAAAACAGAGGTTATTTTAACAATCCTTTGTTAAATGCAAAATAACTAAATTTTTCCCCTATAGTGTCACGAAAAGAGTAAAGTGGGAGTTCAGTGAATACTCTGTCTGGAAATCTCATAAAAAAGTGACAATTTAAATCTGCCCTCATGTTACTAACAAAACTGGACTTGAACCTGAGCTCTTCAGCTGGACGTGATTTAAAATACAGATTGCAGTTATATTTAGAAGTAAGACTCCTGAATGTTGTTACGACAAGTTGATTGTAGAAGTTACATATTTTCCTTCCTTTGAGGGCTCAGAAAATTTTTTAATTATTTTGTCTACTTGATAGTCAATAACTACCTCTGCATTTGTCATCTTTCATCCAAGGATGTTACAGTCAAATTTTTAGGGAGGTCATTTGCCTCTATGAATGAATACCCTAATAGGAATAGAAGTTCATAAGGGACTGAATGCTGTAGAGCCAACAAGTCGTTATTCCCACAAGCAGAATGCAAATAATGTCAGTTAATGCAATGTGAGAATTGCAGGCTCAGACCTTATACTAGATTCGTGTAAAGTAGGCTCCACTTTACAACAATAATCCTTGAAGAATGTTGTCATAAATAAGTATTACAGTATCTAATCTTCTGCAAAAATTAAACGATTTAAGTTCAAAATGTTTTGTCCCAATAACCGTAATAGCAAAAATACACGTTCCCAGAAAGTTACTAGAATCTGTTGCTTTTCCAAACCACATACTGCATTTTAGTAATGAACTACTGTACTCTTAAAAGGTAACAGTGATAGGACACTGAAGAAAAGCGACTACTCTTTTAAACACAACTGGAACTTATTTGTCCATTGCATGCCACTTACATTACTGCTATTTTTTTAATGCATAAAAATGTCAAGATCATTAAATGTCAGCTATTAAAACAAATCACTGAACAGTATTTGTTAATTTAGGACCGTGTTTAATTTCAAATAGAAAACATGCTTTTTCAATAAATTATTCAGTAATAGGAACCCAATATCATGAAATCAAAGCAAAAATCAAGTATTGTACATTTTTAATACTGTACATATATTATATATTGTTTTCTCATATTTTAGGTAATCATTTCTAGATTGAAAATCATTAGATTGTTTCCTTGGTAAAGTGAAACTTTAAAAGCCAAGATACCTTTGAAAGCAATCTGCATTAATTGAAAAGAGACAAGTGAATACAACATATGTACAGATCTGTGGATTTCAATCTATAAGCTACATACATTAAACCAAACTGTCCCTGCATATTTAACTACAGATCTATTTTGGCAATGTGGAGGTATATCTTTTATCCTGTTGCAAGTCCTAACATGTAAGTAGGAAGCTTCAATATTTGCATACTTAATGAAAGTAGCAAACGCTAACTGAAGAGCAACTGAATTTTCAAAAAAAAAAAAAAATTGCATCACAACAAACAAGTAGTACAGTAAAGTTAGTAAGTATTTTTAATAGCATTCACATTTTTTTAAAAAGTCTCTGAAATGGACCTGTACATCACTTTTATTGACAGAACATAAATATAAGAAAAAGATCCTTAGAAAGACCAGAATTTTTCCCAAACATAAAGTGCTAAGATGTGTACGGTAGTAAGAAGTTTCTTTTTTTTGTTTCTTTTTTTTTTTCTTGATTGAGCAAAGAAAGGTTAACACAAAGGTTAACCCCAAATTCAATTGAAATCTTTTGAAAATACCATGTGTTCTTGAGCTTCAGCATTCAAATGTTTTAGAAGATTCAGGTTGCTCTTCTAAATTCATTTGCAGTTCATTTTGACATTCTGTTGTCTCACCTTTGACAGCTAAATGGATGACTTTTAGCCATTTCTGTTTTAGTTCCTCATTGTCCGCAGCAAAGCTGTGCACAGACTTAGACTGGGTCAGTTTGAAGCTGTGCGGGAGGTCAGCACTTCTTGGGGTGTCATCTACTGTATAGCCCAGAAGTGGAATCGTAGCCAAGGCTTTAACGTCCTAAGAAGAAGGAGAAATTCTTAATTAAGAACAGCAACTAACCGGCCCACTACCTCTCGTTTACTATACAGGTTGGTAAAAACACTTGGATCTTTCCTCCATTCCCAAGTATATTGACTTCTCTTCCTCAGACATCAGTGACAAGAATTACTAAAATCTTTTCCATTTTCTCTGTACATACCTGCGGAGCACCATACATGTACAGCACAAGAGCTTCCTGTTTAGGTATAACACACCATGCTTTCTGCCAGGGCTTTGATTTTTCCATGTACTGAAGAAAGCTACATATGACACTATTTCCAGAGACTTCTGCAGATTCAATCTAGGAGACAGTATAAAGCATAACAAGGAAAATAATCACTCTTAAATAAGGACTAAAACCACACAGAACAGAAAAGCTGAAATACATCACATTCACCCCAAATGTTAGACAACATCTGCAAAACAGCTTGAGCAAATACCCAAGTTAAAGACCTGATATACAGAGAATATTTATATGATGCGTACATAGAATCACCATGTGTACTCCTTCATCACATGTGTAATCTGTTCCTTCTTTCATCAGTAATTTTGGATTATACACTGCTAGATCACTCTCAATCTCATTTTGCCACCACATCCAGCCTTTCTATCACAGTATCTACAACAGTGTCCTATTTCTAAGATAACATCATGTTAGGCTGCAAGTGCTACTAACTATCCAATGTGATGACTACTCTATTTTGGCAGTCAAAATATTATGACAGGATCAGACACAAACACTTTTCTAGAAACAACATAAGAATGCAAGTGCTAATCCTAGAGAAAAGATTTGGTGAACTGCTTAAAATCTGAAGACAGAGTGACATGCTACTTGGGTTAAATAGTGATCCTGTGAAGAACAGAAAGAGCACAAAATGGTTGTTAATATTTCCTTGCATCCATTTTTCTCCTCCCCCAATAGTGATGCTGTCTGGATGCTGCAACATGGTACTAACAACTCTGTTGTCATGAGATCCAGCATGAAGACGGACATTTCTAAGAGACTCTGTAGCCCTGTCGGCTACCGTAAAAAAGCCATCATGCCAAGAAACAGCAGTCTCTTGACTATAGGGTAAGCTAGTGGAGTCCTGTGCTCCTTACTCTTTCTCATTTAAGACAGTGTAGTCAAGTGTAGTCAAGCCAACAGGGCTTACAAACTATATGTGGAATTACAATCTGTATCTTATTTTTGCCTTCTTTTTCTGTTGGTATTTAGCTCAAGGGTCAATCCTTTCTCCACTACATCCCAACACAAATACAGGCCTTGACAAAGTTAGGATGGTATCTCTGCAGTGTACGTCAAACATTTTAAAAGGGCCTGTAAAGGGGGATTTAAGAAACGTGAAGGTTAATTACAATTGTAAGATGCCTATTTCTCCCCCGATCTTAAGAGAAACAGAAGTCTTTTGTTTGATTGAGACCTTGAATTTTTAGATGACAAAAGCTGAGACCAACTTGATGGCTTAAAGGTACGCAGTATACGCTGATCAAAATGGTGTCTAACTACTCAGGCTCTGAATAGCAAAATTCTCCCCCATTCCCCTTCCCTCCATCCCCAGTTCTTTCAGTTTGGGTACATGTTTTCAAGAATCATGGTAGTAGCAGTGGGTTTTGTTGCTACGACAGCTTGAGTGCAGAAGAAAACTGAAGATTTGTAAGGAAAGATAACGTTTTATCACAGTAGCTGATGTAACTGGAAAGAAGCAAACAAGCTAAGGTTGATAATTCCCCCTTTAAAAAAAGTGGTAAGAAACAAAGTAGTATTGTAAAAGATGAATGGTGAAAACCAAAATCTATTGGGTGAGATGAGTTTGGCCCACATACTTTTTATTTCTCAAGCAGAAAATAACCTTGCAAGAAGGCTGCCATTTTTCACCTACTGATGAGCCAAAACTGTTTGCAACTATGTACGTATAGAATTTTTAAATGACATACCTCCAAGATGCCTTTCTTCTTCTTTTCTTCACTGTCTGTACAGCCAGTTATAACATGATAGCAGTCCTTACAGACTTTGTTCAATTTATTACCATCATATTCGAGATGTGCCTTATAATCAGAACATTTCCAGCAAACCACCTTAGAAACAAAAAAGATAAGCAAACATATAAAATTTAAGTATTTATAAAACTTTAGGGAAACAAAATTTAATTTAAAATTAATATTGTTATATCTAATCAGTAATATTTTGTTTAAAGAACAAGAAAGATAGTTGCTTTATTATGCTATTATGTCAACGGTAACTTAATTGAAAATGATGACTTTTCTAAATTTGTTGCACTGCTTCTTAACTAGAAGTGCTTTTTACTATTTACCTGGTGGGAACTTTGTATAAAATCACATTAGGCTTTCAATTATATCTGTAGGTTAAAGTTAAGAATAGAATCAGAATATAGCACAGACTATGCTGCAGGAAGAAAATCCCCCAGTTTCTTCAGATGGCAACCTGAAAAGATACACTTACCATTTTGTTTTCTACATAACCTCAGAAACGTACAACTGAGATGCCCTCTTAATGATTAAAAAAATTAATAAAAATCAGAATTTTTTTTTAACCTAAGAAATATTAAATTTACAGTTTCAGAATCTATTCATGAGTACACAGAATACATAAGCCAATGTCTCACTGTCTTTTGTCTTTTCACAAAAATATATCGAAAAAACGGAAATGCAAGAAGATCTGAGAGAAGTTCTTTCATTAGAAATGTTTTTTCCACAGAAATGATCTTTCAGGGGAAGAGATGCCCTGCATAAAAGGTGTGAGTGCAGTTATTTCAAGAAAGAAGGGTAGACAAATGGACTTGCAGGACTCAAACACCTGAACAAAATTTTATTGCGGACCAGGGCTCTGCAGTACTAATCTAGATCACTACCTTCAACTAGTATCTCTAGAGAATACTAGTTAAGTATTCCCAGTTAGTCACTGCTGGAAAAACACTATCACTGACCCAAATTAATTCCCATGAAAAAAACATTTTAAAATTGAAGTGGAAGGGGATGTGATAGAACTACAATAGAGGGAAGTAGTTAGGAGTCTGAACAAAAGGGAGGGAAAAAAGGAAGGGGGTGATCTTAAGATTAATGGAGGAGTTTTAAGACAGAATGATCTGGAAAAAAAATCCCAGGTGACAACTGTATAATCAATAATTCAGAGCTTCTGAAAAAGTCTCTAGTGTCCCACAAAGCACAAAAGCAGCGTTGTGAATGCAGTAAGCTGTCATATCCCGTAAAAACATTAGAAAGAAGCCATACAAGGTAACCTGTAAGACAAATATTAAACCTAGGCTTGCACTACCATCTGCTGGAGAAAGGCATCGCTGCTGGATGGCAAGAAAAGAAACCACAGTATGTTTGCTCTTCTTTTGTTAACTTCTGAAAATTCCCAAGTCATACCGCTATTTTATGCTTGCTTTAAAGCAGCCTATGTTACCGTAGCACAACACGTGGAAAGCAGCAGTAATACTATCTCCCCCATCCTAACCTTCTCTCCTTCCCTGATGTGCATGCTCACACAGTTACTCACTGAACCCAGCTGGGAACAGCTCCGAGTTAACCCAGTGAAAAACCGCAGGGCTTCATGATCTCCTTGCAAAGAGGAGAGAGGAGGTAGCAGGATGGGAAGAGGAGGCAGCCGGCGCTGCCAGGGATAACGCTGGCTTATGCCAATTTAATATGGTCTTGAAACTGTTGAGATCAGTGGAGGCCACTCAGAAGTAACAGCATAGTATGTCCAGGGGCTTGGGACATTTTACACAAATGCGCATCTTCCACTGCTACAAATCACTTCCAAATTTACTATGCCAGCTAAAGCGGACTGAGGATCCTTTGTAGTATGCTATAAATAGCTTCTCCTTTCAGCTACAAGCGCAGCAACAAAAACTCTGCAGCGTAACAAGCAGCCACCAGAAGTCAAGCAGGTGGTTAGACCCATTCCGCTCCCCAGCCTCAGCAGCTAGGGTTTTGCACTTACGTGTCCACAGGCTCGGCAGTGGTGCCTTCTCCTGGTCAGTGCATTAAAAGGCTCCTTGCATTTCATGCACATGGTTACTTCATTGTCACGTATCCACCTCGGTGCTCTCTTCCCAAGCTCAGCGTTCTGAAGGGGGGCAAGGGGAGGATGAGAGAATACAAAAAGCCAGTATAAAAAGTTGTGCAGTATTTTAAATAGAGAAAATAATTATTCTCTTCCTCTGGAAAGGAAATGGCAAAACACAGCTCAAGATGTATTTTGAAATCTATACAACAAATAACAAAGAACCCAGTCAAAAATTATTATGCATCATGTACTGAAAGGGTACTCTGTTACATGTTTCAAGAAAAAAAGAGGCTTGTTTATGAGATTTGGCATTAGGAAGAAAAACAATTACCAACAAGATGACTACTTTGTAATTCCTCTGCTATAAGAGTGATGAGCTTGAAAACAAAGTTTCTGCCAGACTTTTTCCAGTTACTGAAGAACCAGATGGGTACTAAGGAGGTTACAAAGGAGTAACAGCAACTTACAGAAACCTCAACAGGCATGTCTTCATATTCTTTAGCAATAGCGTTTCTGAAAGTTTCATTCCTCTGCTGAAAAGCTTCTATAGTATTCTGAAGCGCCTAAAGAAGCAAAGGAGAAATTCCTCAAACATACTACATTTAAAACAGACTCTCTGCATTCTGATCAGTTATTGATTAGCAGAGGGAAGCTACAGCCAGAAAATATGACTACTACTTTTTTGATTGCTTCAGTGAAGTGTTTAGAAAATAAAGAATGTAGATTAATTTACCTTTATCCATTCTTCCTTATCTTGTTCAGAACTAAAAGAAATATTTGACACATTAGTCCAAAACTAGTTCAAGAAACAGTATCTCACTATCAACAACTTCTTGCAAAAGCCAAGCTTCTGAAGCAGTTCTCAGGAATTTAAATTTAAACAATACTAATTGTTAACTGTCCAACTTAAAAAAAAAACCACCACAAACCAAAACAGAAAAAAAAAAAGCATGACTTCAGGCTTCACAAGTTTGCAACCGATAAGCAGTGAATTGAAGATGAAAGATAAATGTAAATGCATTTAAAAGTAGTAATAATATTTGCATTGTTACATTATTTTTTGTTATTGTTTGAGAATAGGATAGAGAGGAAAAGAGGACAATGCAAAGTGTAGGTGGTTTTTTTCTCCTCTCATTTCATGCGCTACTAAGTTCACTTACTAACACGCATCTCTTCTATATCTCTCAAATCTTCCTCCCTCCCCAACCAAAGTAATTTCCTTAATGCTTTTTTCTTGTTGCTGTGGCTTAAACTTGACTACAGTGGCAAGAAGAGTATCCAATTAAACAAAAGGAAAAAAACATGGTTTAATATTACAAACCAAACAGCAGAAATTTCCCTTTTATGCATTAGAGCAGATACAGATGACAGGAAGTACAGGTGAGATATACAGACAAGACAGAGATGAGAGAGGAAGCATATTCAACTCTCATCCTGTATGACAGCTTTGTCTTTAGAATGTATCAGCAGAACTTTGACATTCAAATCTTTGGAAAAATGTCTTATATCACAAATAATAGTACTATTGGATACTACTGGCCAGTGTTGGCAATGAATACGGTTTATCTGCAAACTTTACGTCAGAAAGACGAGAATTAGCACCACAGTGTATCTGGCTCTTCAAAAGTGGCTTTCTCCTTGGATCAGGATGTGGAAAAAAAAACCAAACCCACCACTTCTGTAGCCATGCAATATCAGCCATGCAAAATTTTATTTATCTATGGATTGCTATGAAGGATGTGAAAGAGAGGTTTTACATCATCTCCATAAAAACGGCTCCTCACATATTGTTTCACAGCATTAGTACAAGCTTTTAAGCAAGCAGAATCCTAAACAAGTGTTTCCCCTTCCCACTACCATCTGCATGAGGCAGAAGAAACCTGTCTAAACAGCCAAAATAATTCTCCCCACCTGCTTACATTAAAAACCAAAAGCTGAGCTATTAAATGTCGTACCAGATCAGTAACCTCTCAAAGAAATAATCTACCAGCTGCTTAAAACCAGTGATTGACAGTATACTCAGATAGTATTCTGAAAAATAAATAAATAGAAGCCTACTAGTAAAGAAAACCCCAAGGGTAAACTAAATATTATAAGGCTGTTAATACAAGCTCATGAATCAAGGACATTTTGTACAGATTTAATGCATTCAAAAAATATTTGTAAAACAAAACATGCTCTTCTCACACTTAAAATAAAGCAATAAACTTCTAATTACTGATAATTTGGGAAATTTGACAAAATAAACTTACTTTGTTGCAGCATTTTTCTTCCAATTAAAAAGTACTTCATAAATAGTACAGTAAGATGCCATCTTTCACCATTGAAATGGACGTATGGTGTAACAACTTGCCAAATACTTAGCAAGACATCATACAGCAATTTATAGTAGATGTGATTGATAGCCAAAAACATGTCCAAAAAGTCTTGCAGAGCTTAGTGGAAAGCTTTTTCCTGTCATTTTTCACAGTATATATTTAATTTCAAATGCAATGATATTGTAGGTAAATTGTTATATGCTGTTATATTTCTATATTCACTGCTGTTACTCTCATTAAATATTACAAGGGTTTTTTTTCCATAAAGGAGAGTAACTTGCAAGCTCGTTTGGTAGCAAGCTATGGTTTGTCCCCAAATACAAGGTGTCAACACAGAACTGTATCCACCATGGACACCCTCCTGCTTATTTAATCCTTGCCTCTCTGCAATGAAATCCTGACTGCTAAGAATAGGATCTTTAAGCAGGTCCAAAAGGAGAGGTGGAGCACCCTACTTTATTTGAAGTGGGGCAGGCTAGACAGGGAAGTTTAGCCTAGGCAATAGAAAAAGCAGCAACGGGAAGGTAACCCAGCAAGAGGAGGATACGAGGACAAATAAGGAAAGCAGAAAAGTGCCAGTCAGAAGAGCGCAGTTGGAGGAAAGGACCCAAGAACTAAAAGGAGAACTTGCCTTCGAGGGTGAGGTTGATACCTGGGACCAGAGGAAAACAAGTAGACTGGACACAGGCCTGAGGAATGGAGGAAAGCAGGTGCCCATCTACCACTGTGAAAAACTATGTTCTGTGGACACATCCCCTCCAGGGTGGAGAGTTTTGCTGGGTGGACATGCCCCGAGGTGAACAGACCCATTTGCACAAAGGTGGCTCAGGTACCAGAGGCAGCAGCACTGCCCAGAGATGAACACACTCAGTGTCCCAAAACGCTTAGGTCAGACAGGTTGCCTTTGCATCAGGTATGCTGCTTTCAATTTTCCAGCTAGTCTATTCACAGCTATCTTAGGTATTTCTGCAAAGCTAGGCAATGCACTGTGTATTGTAGATGCATCTTCTATTCCAAGAGATTCTGAGACTGACAATTTATGGTTTTGGCAGCCTAGGCTATTGTCAAGACACTTATATTAAGATGAAGCCCATTGCATTTTACTCCAAATCTATCAGTCCACTCGTGTGTGTGTATTTAATCCTTCAAAAATTAGATAAAAAGACTTTCCTTACCTGGCCTGCAACTCCAGTGTTCGCTCTTTTCCAGACACTTGAAAAGTGTGTGGATATTCTTCATTATGAGTTTCTATAATCTTCATACCATCTATGCCAACTCTGGTTCGAACTGAGAACTTTGATCCTACCAAGCTGAATTTGGGGACGCAGTAGAGCAACATATTGTTGAACTGGGGGGGAAAAACAAACAAACAAACAAACAAAACCAAACACACGTCTTTGCATTAACAAAACCACAGATAGAGAGATCTGAGACAATACCAGAAAGCTGGACTCAAAGCTGGTGAGAAAGCAGGTTCTTTCCGGCTCAGTTGATATACAAGACGACCAAAGCTCTCATGCAAGCCAACTACTTTTTCTTATTTGTTTAGAAATAAGATTAAAGGACAGCTTCAGCAGATATAAGAATAATTGCTCTGTATATGCAGCAGTGTTAACAGCATTTATTACTAACTATACTCAGACTGGATATGTTGTAACATTGTAAACCCTCTGTTAGGAAAAACCCCACTCTTATGCCCCAATTCTGCAAAAACTACTCTAAATGGCAGAATAAGTACTCTTTTCTTCAGTGTATACATTTATATTTACCCTGTACCAAAACCATTCAGTTTTGTAGAATCTGTAACTAATATTATTTGAGGACATTATTTGTCTTTTCTCCAAGACAGAAGAACATTTCTGTCTTACAGGTTTTATTCACTGAAACTCTCAATATCACAGGGGAAAAAAACCAAACATGACCAGGACAAAGATATATTCCTTTATTAAAGATTAGAACTTTCAATAATGTTTAAATGTCTAAAGCCCCAGCCTAGAAGCACAGTTATTAGATCTATAGTGTTTAATTTTCTCACATTTTTCCCCTCACATTTTCTCACAGTTAATTATTAAAAAGAGAAACTCACTTCAATTAAATCGTATTTCACAGAAATCCTGCCTAGCCTATTGTCTAGTCTGTATCACAGACACAGCACACGAACTTGTCGCCTCTCACGTGAAGCGCACATCATTCTAATCAGCTGTCTGGCTCCATTTGAGGGCTTACTATTCAATGATTACTCCTTTTCTTTGAAGCACAGGTAAGCAGGAGTTGTGCCTCAACAACTCGTTACTAGTTTTTATTAACCAGAAGACATGTGATGTCAGAGGCCTATAAGCAAAAACGCATTAGCAATTTTTAATGCATGGGAAGCCATGAACTACATCAAACCTCTTCCAAGGGAGTTGGAAGGGAGCTTGGCTGTAGTTTGTTAGTTCTAAGACAGGACGCAGGCACATGACAAGAGGATGACCTGCCATGATAACAAGCTCCCACAGGACCATGAGACTTACTGGGACACACAATCCATCAGGATTAAATCCTAAGCTTTTGCATTTCATGAGAATGTCAAAGTTCTCATGCTCTAGGACCTGCATTTATAATCAGCTGCTACTTAATTAAAACTGAGTTGCTGGACATTGGTTCCATTTATTTAAAACCATGTATTCTGTTCTACATGGTGTTTTCTTATGCTCTAATGTCACTAGTATAAAAGCATTGACCTAACTAGAAGAGGATTTCCCTCTCTCTTTGGTCTAGAAATGTATACAGCCACTCCTGCAAACAGAGACTACCATACTTACTAGGAAAAGATATCGTTCTTGAGCAGACGTATTGCGAGCAGCGAGTTTAAGGATCTGTCCTTCTTTTATCAGTTCATTTGAAGGGTTCACAATGTCTTCCTCTTCTCCCAGCATCTCGTATATCTCTAACAATTTCTTTAGATTCTCCTTTACAGTGGAAATACAGTTATAAATCTTATTAATTAAAAGCACAGCTCTTTAAGCATGTTGAACTGAAATGATGGGAGCTTGTGTAAGTCTGCAGAATGTCAGCTTTGAAAAACATATATAGATGTATATCCACTATATATGGTCAGCCATGCAGATTCGTTAACCTAGTTCATAAAGTAACAAGTACTTTTAGAAATGTTATCTCCATGATAACTTTTAAAATGCAGTTATACATACAGCCTGCATTATTTCTTGTCCAAAATATCTCATGAAGGTAATGAAGTACCTATCATGCCAGCCCAATATGGTAGAGAAACAGTAACTACTCTTTACAAATGTCCTTCCACTGACAGAAACAGGTGAAACAAGGTGAAGAACCCAGCATAGCATCAGGTATTTGAGCCAGGAGAGGAACCTCATCTGTCCCATTTCCCACTTGAGAGAACTAGGTGCAATGCCAAATTTTGTCTATCGTTCCCAGGAACTGTGTAAATACATTATGTAGGAGCAATCACTTGGACCCAGGAAACCCATTTTTGCCATTTTAGGGAAGATTGGTGAAGCTAGGAGTATGAATTGCCAAATACTCTAATATATTAAAAAATGGTCAGGAAAACAAGGATCATTTACCATTTTTCTTATTGCACTATTAGAGTGACTTGCTGCAGTGGATATAATTTCCAGGGATTCTAGACGGAAGAAAAAAGGAAAAGTGAAACCAAAAAGCTGCATTTTTTACATACTTATATATTACATAGAAAAAAAATGAAATAATTCAAAACAATATCTGGCAAGTAATTTTGAACAATACGTGGAAATATCTTGAACTGTTCTTGTGTAAACACAGAGGGGAATAAGTTTAAAAATGGGCTGTTCTTTTTCCCTATAGAAGCTTAAAAATACAATGAGTCTAACTCTGCTCTTTTTACAAATAAGAGACATATATTCAAAATGTGCATAAAGCAAACCAAAATGCCAGCAAAAACAAAAAGAAAAAGAAAAAACACCACAACCCCTGATTATCCGCAAAGCAAATAAATCAAAACTTGTGCAGTATCCCAAAACTAAAGCAAAACTTATGTGCTCCAGGAGGAGAATACTAAATAAAGGCTTTACAGTTTTTACATTAACTTCATCCACTATTCAAATAGATATTTTTTTTCAAAGAATCCTACAACTGCACTGAAGAAATTCTGTCACTCATTTCAGAAGGACTTTGCATCTTCACTTTATTTTTCCTGAAAGTATCTTTAATTTACAGTATCCTCTTACGACTATCTTATTTCAGCTATTTCAACGACTAGAAGATATTTACTTTCAGCATCTTTCCAGTCTAGGGAATCCTGAGGCAATTTCCTTAGGTAGTCCTTTAGAAGCATCTCGTAGCGTGGAATGCGTTGTACGGGTTCTAGCATGTGATGTTGCAATGTCAAATTTCCACACACTTTTTCCTTCTAAAAAATTGTAAACATATTTCAATGTAGCAGGCAAAAATGTTATTACGATATAGTAAAATAAAAATTATGATTGATGAAACATAAATAATGTATTTTGAAACATGCATGATAGACCTTCTGAAAGAAAATAGAACTACTTTACCAAACCAAATAATTAGAAATTCTTTCCTAAAAAAATTGTAAAAATTTTCCTAAGTATCCAATAGTAGGTATCCAATTCATAAACAAAAGTCCTAACAAAAAAACCTCCTAAACTCCAGAGTATTTTAAATTAGGTTTGTAATAGCTCAGACAAGAGAATTACTACTAAATTAATAAGAACAGTTCGTGACCACGCATTAGAAAAAGTCCTTAAATAGGCTACCTACCTGAGGAAGGAATGCTTTTCTTGAGTTTCATTTACAATGTAAACCCCCACAGCAGTGTTTTAAGATGCATATTCACTTCCATAATCTTAGATGTAATTAAAAGATTACATTAAACTACACATAGTTGTCTTCCCTGGCTCAGAATCACAAGACTCTATAGAGCAGTAAAATTTAAGTAGAAATACCTTATCCTACTTCTAGCTGTTCAGACTGCAATAGGAAGACATGTACGTGCCAATTCACAGAGAAACCTACAGGGAGCACTAGAAGGTATAAAAAGCACTTTTGAGAAGGCTGATGCATTACTTTAACAGTTAAGCTTTCTTTACCTTTTGCGGCTCAGCATCTAGGATCACATCCTTACTTCCGAAGAGCTGTGCTCTGCCTAACAGCACTGCTGTGAACCAACACAATACTTGTGGATTCAGTGCAAGGATCGGTAGTTGCACTGATAGGTCACTTATCCTAAAACAATATTTACTTTTGGTATCTACAACAAACTGTAGCTTTTTTTTTTTTTTTTTTTAAGTCTTTTCACATTTCAATCTTTATACTTTGGTCCTCTATTTTGCAGTGGAAAGTCTGGATTTTTGTGGGTATTTGAGCAGGGAGAACGAGAAGAAACAGAATGTGGTGTGAAGTGGACAAATTGTAAGGGATTTTTGATTTAATTTTCTCTTTAATCCTTCTTGCACCCACAAACCTATATATTTTTAATATATGCTTGTATTACTTGGAGATCTACATTATTCTTCTCATTACCTGAATGTCTTGAATAATGAATTTGAATTGAGGTGACCGTTCAGTCCATGTTTTCACCAATTCCATTGCATTATCAAAATTCTTCACGTACTCTCCATACATCTTGAGGAAAGGAGCTAACTTTTGCAGAATATCTCCAATTCTGGGGGTGGTAGTCCTGCAAAGTAAAAGAGTGGAATCTCAGGAAAGAAAAAAGTCACACACGGTTATAAAACGATTTCAAGTGTTTAATAGAGAATCCTACTGTTTGGGATCGCCCCATATAGAGTCCCAATGTAACCATTAAAACTGGCCAGAATTAACACAGAAAGAAAAAAAAAAGAGTGTTTGTACCCTCTTTGATGATGTATAAGCATTGTTGGTCATGTAGAACGCTAAAGAAAGAAAAGCTATCTATAATGAAAAATTTGAAAGCTTTTGTTTACAAAACATGGCCTAATTTATTTTATTTGCAGTTCCTTAAAACTACATTATCTTTTTTGACCATACTTTACCCTCTAAATACCTAACCTGTAGGTTTGTTTGAGGGCTAAATCCATATCGTTCAGCTTCCTTTCTGTGACTTATATAAATACAAGTTATTTACAACTTCTAAAAATCATTATTTAGCTAAGAAAACCTATGAAGTAGAAAGAATCCCTTGGATTCCAGTCTTTTGTGAGCCCTTTCCCCCATCTTTCCCAATTACTGACAGCATCTTCAAATAAAACAGAATAGTAAAGAAGCTGATGGAGAGGCAGAGAGAAGCTGCACTCTCGATGCACACAAAGCAAGCGGAATGGCACACGTACATCTCCGAGAACTACAATAGGAAACACGTTTCACATTTCGTTTTCAAGCACAGACTCAGAAATGCAGTATGTCTGGATTTCCGAAAGTCTGAAATCAATGTTGTGGTAGTAGTCTAGAGTGAAGCGACCTCCTGCAATTACTCGAGCAGTCTATTCCAGCACACCACTTCTCCAAGAGAAAAGCTGTGCAGAAGGGAAAAGGAAAAAAAAGTTATTTGAATAGTGACTATTGCCAGGACTGGCAAAGGCTGGTCCAGCTCCAGCTGTCTCTGGAGGGGGGCAGAAGGTACCTGTGTAAGACCTGGCAGAGGTCTGAGCTACTGCTGGGCCTGGCGACAAGAGGAGGGGACAAGATAGGGTGGGAAGTTGGTCTCTGAAATCACCAAGGCTCTCTACCCTTAACTAGCTTCACGTATTTCTTCAAACAGTCTACATGCAAGCAGACACATACACTTTCAAAGGCAAGCTAGCAATTTAAAACAAAAGCCCTCTCCTTTGATTCACTGAATGCTATTTCTCTGAGTTGTCATTTTATCGCAATGCAGCATATTTTTTAACCAAAAATAAAATACAAATCATGCCAGTTCCAAAGAAAATGTGAATACATTTCTAAAGGTCACCAAATGAAAAAAAAAAAAAAAAAAGAAAACAAAACAAAAACCCACACAGACATTTAAGTTTTCTGATAAATTTAACAGAGAAGTAATTATAAAATTTTGCAATTAAAAAAATCTTTGAGCAGAAAAGACTGTGGCAATACTTTGTATCTAAAGAAACTGGCACAAAAAAAGAACATTTCTACTTAACTGTTTCACAATGATTACTAGAAAGACGTTAAAAGAAAATGTTAAAACTTTTATAAGCCAAGAATTGAGAACAGTTTGCTATGCCTGTTCCTCGGATACCTACGGCAGCTCATTTACACAGAGCACTGCAATTTCACTGTCTCTGAAGATTAAAAAGGTTTACAAACTACTTTTCATGCAAGGCCCTTATATGTCCAAAGACTGTGTGTTTACAACCTCAAATTCATCATCGTTTCAGGTAAGACAGACAAGGTCCATGTCACACAAACAGCTCTGGAAGAATGGGAAGGACAGGGAAAGTCACAGAAAGCAGAACCTTCTGAAAGCAGCATCCTCCCTTCATGAATTTACGAGCATAGATAACTGCTTCATCTCATATTCAAACACTAAGCACCATGAGCCAAAATATGAAGTTCTACTAAATGCCGTCAGGTCCAGGACAGTTACTGCTCTCTTGGATAGAGAGAACAGAAAAAGAACGATTACCATGGACCCAAATCAGCACCGCCCTATTGCCAGACAAAGACAGCATCCTTATACGGGTCAAGAAATAGGACTTCACATTGTAACGTAGGTACAGAAACACTTCGGATTTCTGTGTTATCAGACCACAATAGTATTCACATTTGCATTCTAAAAACTCAGAGATGAAATAGCTGACTTACTTATCATGATTTGTAGCATCTCATTTAAAACTGTCATGGCTGCAAGAAAACTAAGGAAAGGTCTGTAAAAATCACAGCACAGCAAAGCTGACTACAGAACAACTGCTTTCTCTTCAAACGTACAAGCTAATAGGCATCTAACAAAATTCAAAGTTGCGGTTTCAAAGAAGAACATATCATATAAAGTAGGTTTGCTCTGTCATTGCTGCCCATTCCAAAACTTTGTGTTGAAAGAGTGAAATGATTTCTTCACCAACACACACACACCCCCTCCCCTGCACCCCTCGGAGGCTATCACACCATGTTCTTAAATTCCTCCCCAGGTATCTGCTACTGGTCACCCTTGGGTACAAAAGACAGAGTTAGATGGGTATTTTATTTGATATGGGATCACTGTTATGCTCTGTTATGCTCTTTTCATGGGAAATATATTGCAACAAGGCTGTTTCCAGCACTTTCAAGCCATATGTTGTAAGAGAGATATTCAGCTCCAGCTGTTGCTCAACTCATTCAAAATGCAACTACCAGACAATTTCATTTCCACTCGATAAGCTTAGATTCACACCGCCTTTTCTTCTAAAAAACAAGAATCTGCTTCTGAACTGCTTTCCCAGTTTCAAATACTATATATTTTTACCCTAGGTTTTCAAAACAAACCACAACTCAGGGAAAGTGTCAGAAATTTTTATCCAGCTATTTTTACTGGAAGCTAAAGAACAATAGAAGTGCATAAACCTACCAACAGAACATACTTCAGTATTTTCTATGTCCAATTAAGGGCACTGCTGAGGAAAACACACTCTCTGGCAGAAGCTGTTGTTTCAGAGACTGAATGATGGGGAGAGAAAGTTATCCCGAATTTTTCTTTCAATAGTGATCAGACATTGTTCTCTTCAACTGCACTCTTTCTTCTAACTTCTCCCAAAAGCATAGTGTTTTAAGGACATTTGAACAGGTTGTCTCAGGTACCACACAGAGGTGATTTCCAAGCAATGTGGGAAAGATAATATCCTTATGATGCAATTTATTAGTTTTGCAGTAATAGTCAAAGCTCATCTGCAAAAGCACTTTTCAGCCTTTGAAGCTATGTAATTGTACACGCATTATTCACGTACAATTTAGCTTTTTGCAAATATTTAAGGTAGAGCAACCCATCTTATGTGCTCTATAAAGTGTCTAGAGCAAAATTTTAAGAGTACATCACGAATTTCTTTTCAAATATATACAGCACTGACATAACGTAGTGTAAGCTGCTTTTAAAACACAATTGGACTAAGTTAAACTCCAATTCTCTTGAACATGCACTCTATTTTAATCCAGGCATTCGTATTTTCTATCAGACTTTTTCAACTGAGCAGAAAAGAGTGGATTTACCTTACAAGGTCATTTTGTGAGGAACATAAGTAAAGGTGTAAACTTTGCTACATTCCATGACGCTTAAGTTTTATTTATTTTCTTTCATTATAGACTCTATGGGGCTACCACGTGTTTGTGCATAGTAACTATTCTATTTTAAAGAATCACCATTTTAAAGGGGAATCATCTTATCGAGTCAGGAGATGTATAGCTTGTTGTCTAAAGCACCACTATGTGGTCTGAGATTTTCATATATGTCAAAGGAATCTATTATTTCCTATTTTTAGTGTGATATTTGACAATTAAGATGTTATATGAAAGTGTAACTGGAAATGATATCTGGATAGACACTAGAACTCCTCATGATAAACCCTAGATAACATGGAATAGAGCAACCAAACAGGTGCTGAGGTGAAACAACTGGATGAAACAATATTTGTAAATTTTAATTGGGTTTGTGGGGTTTTTTTTAATGAGGTGTCCCCTTCCCCAAATAGGGAAGCAGCAAGGGTTTGTGACTTATTTTTTCCCCCCACAATTACATGAGAGACCAAAAAGACATGGGTATATTTTAATGACTCCAGGATATTAAAATACCTGGAGGCTTCAGGCAGGAGAAAGACACTCCAGTAGTACATGATCATTACAGAGTATATTTACACCTCAGCTATCCTTCTTGCTTGGTCCAAATAGAGGTCCTATCAAGAAGAGCTGAGGAAAAAATGTCCTTAAAACATTTCTGATCTGGATTTCGAACAGAAAACGAAAGCGCAGAAAAACATATCCTTATTAATGAAAGCAATAATGACAAAGGTTACTGTGCTACAAGGGTAGCACAAAACACATACATGTTATTTATCTCAATTTTGCATTCTGTGCAATGAATTCATCAGGTAGCACAGTCTGAACCTCTAATGCAGCAAGGCATTTAATCATGAGTGATCTCACCAGCTTCAGCAAGATACATATCCTTTATTTTGAGCAAATGACGCAAGTCTTCTACTGAGTCAGATCCTGATGAAGAGTGGAAGAGCAGATGTTCTCCTACCCACAGTACGTCCTGGGCCTGGAGCACTTAATTATGAAGGTACCTTCTCTACCGTGACCCTGTGACAGCGTTTCTACAGACACGGTTTTACTAGTATATTAACCAGTGAATTGCCTCTTACCATTCTTGCATTCTTTTCTCAAGTTCTGGAAGTAAGAATTTACTGTGGAAGACATTTATCGATGAAATATTAGAAAAGATTTTGTTAATCACTTCAGCTGGAAACGAACCTCTGTTGGCTTCTTCAAGGAGTCTGGAATAGAATACCTGCAATACAGAAGAAGAGCCCCAAACCTATCAGCCTATTATCTTTAATCAATGGAAGATCATCTATCCACCCCTCCTACTCCAACTGAGGCAAGATTAATATTTCAAATATATAACAGGTGATGACAAACTCATTCATTGTCTTTCCCTCACCAGAAGTTAAAAGCTTCTCCTCCCCTTACACCCCACTTTTTTTCTTGTGAGCCAGGAAAACGCTGCAGGCGAGGCAGACATGAGGAAAGCCAAAGTGAAGTAGTGCCATTTTGGATTGACTCCAGGCATCCTGTCTGTTTTAACAGCTACATCATCTCAGCTTTCCCAGTCTTCCAGTTGTATTTTCCACTCTTGCTTTCTCTTCCATTAGCATGATGTCCGATCACCATTAGCCCAACCACTCTCCTTGTATGCTGTATCCCCTTATTCTTTTGAAATCAAAGTAGCTGGCAGACCATGAGTGGTCCCCATATGCTATTTAAAGCACAAAAGGGGCCCAAGTCCTAACTGGAGTCTACTATAGTTTCTTTAAAAATATACATGTATATTTCCCCATCAGTGGGCTCTACCTGACTAGATGCAGCTACAAAATGGCTAGGAGACATGCACAGCTGTTAATGCACACATCACATAAAACAGTGCTTATGGGGATCTACGGTCCCTCTGCCTCCCCCTCCCATACTTGAACAGACTGCTTCTCCCTGGAAAGGGCTTGGGAAGGAAGAAAAGAGTCTGAAGACAGGAACTTGAATAATCCCAACTAAGGCAGCAAAAGTATCTGAAGAGGAAAAAAAAGCCAGACACTTCCACATATACTTTAAAACATGCTCACTTTGCTCCAGCTCTGAGAGGACAGTTAGTTAATTTTGACAAGTTACTTTGAAGACTATAAAGATTACATAACTTTTTAACCAAGTTTAGAAACATTACGGTCCCCTCCCAGTCTTCTGCTTTCCTCTCATTGGCAGCAGCTGCACTTGAAACTCATTTTTCAGAACTCTGTCCAGTTAATATTTGGAAAACAGACATAAAAGTAATACACTTATGATGGCATCAAGGAAAATAATTGTACGTTATCCATCAGAAAAACCTAGGAATGAAGTAAACATTTACCTTTTTATTTTTAAACTTCTCTAAATCGCAACTCTTTTTTTTTTTTTGCCAATACTTTGCCTTTTAAAACACATATCATACCCATCCCAATGTGGGTCAGCTAGGTAAATCCACTTTCATGAGGATGATTACTTAGATTCCCAAGCAATCTGAACAATTATTATTATCAGTTGAGGCTTTTTACTTTTTCCTCAACTCTGTGTACAAGACTTATGCATTAGGCCTGAGAAACGTAAACAGTGACGCCTGAGAAAAATATCACGGAGTAAGGCAATGCATAGCTATAGGTATCCAGGTAAAATGGATGTAGGTGTTACGTGAGAAAGTAAACAAAGCTTCAAAAAGGAAAATACTCAAGAACTACAGACTTTCACATTTAAGAAATATCAGTTTGAGTCTACAGAGCACAAGAATTCAAATTTCCTTGCAGAAGAGTAATTTCTGTTCTCTTCAATAGGATTTAGTCTAAACATAGAGTGGGGGAAATAGGGCATACACTGTTTAGAATGGGCATCTTCCTAGGTTCTTTGGCACTGTTCAGGTGGCTCAAAGATTTGAAAGATTTAGTAATTTTCTAGTCGGCAGGCAATTTCAGTATTATAAAATGATACCCTTCTTGTCCGTCTCACCAGAAACCAAGAAATAGGTGAGTGTAACATTATCCATCCCCTTTGTTAGAAGGGCTGCTAGTATGAGGTTTGCATTACTATTGCGTATGGTAACGTTTACACACAGAGAACCTATTTCATTAATATCCACAAAATTCTAATACTTTTAAAAATCTGATGTTCTTAAAATAGAAACATAGGCAAAGTATGTGGCAACTGCAAATGTCTGGCTGAAAAAGTCAGCAAAATGTGAAAAACATACCAACCACCTTTTTATGTAATTTATATACACACTTATGCAAAGCCATTCAAGGGAATTCAAGGCAAGAAAATAAAAACAAATTCAAGAAAAATGTACCCTATCTAGGAGGTCAAGTCGGCTAACGTAGGCTTTTTCTGTTTGCAGAAGTTCACTGGCAATTTTGTGCCGTTTCTGTTCATCTGTCTCCTGGAGGGAAATAAGAACAACTCTTAAGATACTGGAGAAAACATAATTTTATACTAAAAAAAAAGTTGAAGAGACATATGATTACCTTACAGTCCAAAATGCAACTGGAATCCGAGTTTCACATTTAGTAATAGTCACCCCATTTTGGAAAATATAAACTTTCCAGCGGTTTAATCAACAAATACAAAAGTCAAAGAAGGATTAAAAAAAAAAAAAAGTAGTAATCAAACTTCTGAGTAAAACTCAAAGCCTAAAACATTTAGTATTTCTCAGTTTGTACAGGGATCGTTGCCAAAGCACCAACTCCCTACTTAACAGATCAGCTCACATCCTGGTAATCGGGTACCACTGACCTTTCAGAGCTGGAAGAACTGATTTGCAGAGTAAGAGGGAACAGATGGGAATAGTCGGTGTTCGCCCCCGCCCTGTTTCAAAAGTTATTTGAACTGCATGTTCTTTGCATGACAGAGTTATTGAAAAATACCGTACAAAATGTCTTCTGTTCATCAATACACTCATTGCTGATTAATTGTTGACTGCAACTACAGGGCTCCTTTGTTAGGTCTTTAAGGCAGTTGCTTTTGCATCTAAAGGGAAGTTTTCTCTTTAAAGTCTTTCATGCCACAAAATATATTTTTGATTCTTCTGCTGAATGGAAACTTAAAATGTTCATTCAAATTTCAATATTAAATTAAATACATTGGAATATAAAATTGTGAGTTGCTATGAGAAGTTATTTCAAAACAAACAATGAAAGCACAGCTTTCTAAAATATTCAAACATTAGGGAAATGCCTCATGCTCACAAGTGTCAGATTCAACAAAATGACACTTCCATTACAAGATTTTTCTTCCCAATTTAGTGCTAGCACTGAAAAGTGTTTACATCTAACGACATCTGAGCCTTTCCTAAGTAAATGGCAGTCTTATTACAGTGCTTATGGGAAAGTGGTAATTTTTGAGACAAACCATAGAGCATCTCCATAAAAAAAAAAAAATAAAGAGGAGAGCTTGAAAGAGTTCTTTCTGATTTCAAACTGCACACCGCTTCCCACAAGAGTACGATAAACATTTGCAAGTACATTTATAAAGATGGTTTGCAGAATACTGAATACTAAAGTACAATCTTTTCATTTAAAGGACTTCAGTGGCTTTTTTGCCCCTTTCCATATTCAATAAGTATTCCAAATTTGAACACACTTCAATTCTAATCTGCAGTGTTAACAGTCACATTGCTACACGGCAAGCCTCCTGCCTAAATACAGGCTTTTCAATAGTGACTTCAAAGCTGTTCATTAAATCTGTTTAAATCAGCATAGCAACCACAGTAACCTACAGAACGGCATTTTAAGTGCTGTCAAAAGACATTGCAGGGAGCTGGAGGATTAGCTATTACAGCTACAGCATGTGGCTTAGTGCGGCCATTTCCAAGGGATCTCACATGTGGACTTGAGGCACAAAACCACGGAGGCTACTGATTCCTCAGCAACTTTATTTTATTTTTCTCTCCCCAAAACCCCACTTTCTTCCTGAAGCACTGCTATAGAACCAGTCTGCAGTTTTCAGAAGATTACTTGAACTAATTAATAGAAGGAAAATCACACATAGCAGACTCGAAAGCATCAGACAAAATGAGCAATTCAGAAAAAGCATTTAATCCTCACTCCTGAGTCAGGGCAAGCCCCTCTTACTCTCCCAGTATACTCTGACCACAGCTTTCCCATCCTCTCAGTATCAACCTTACACATCTTCCTAATTTTTGAACCTCAGTCTCCTTTCTACACCAATCACATTACCCAAGTCAGGTATCTTCTACATAGGAAAAAAATCACACACCATGGATGAGTTATCTTTTAATCACAGTGGCATGTTCTTATTCCAGCATAAGAATACCCACCTACAGGGTTAGATCAGCGCAAGAATAGAATTGTATTGCCAGTTTTCTTTTGAGGAAGTCCTCAGTTTCCCACTTCACCATCTCAATATTTGCCCACATGTTACATGAACTCCTACCTGTGTTTTCTACTCCCACTTCCATCCTCCTTCCTATTCATTCTCCCACTTCAGTGTCTTATCTAGTATCCTATCCTTCATGATCCAAAGAAAAGCACCTGGTTTTCATGAGGTCACTCTAGCTTCCTTCCTGTTGGAAACAACAGTTCACAGGCTATTTTGCTAGTAGCAGCATCCATCTACTGAGGAGCTTTTCTTGGTGGGAGTGGCAGCCACTTGTCCTGAGCACACGGGATGAACTGGGTCCGGAGGCACAGGTGGATGCATGGGTCACAGAATCACAGAACAGCAGGGGTTGGAAGGGACCTCTGGAGATCATCTAGTCCAACTCCCCTGCTAAAGCAGGATCACCTACAGCAGGTTGCACAGGATCGCATCCAGGCGACCCCCAGAGAAGGAGCCCCCCCAGCCTCTCTGGGCAGCCTGTTCCAGTGCTCGGTCACCCTCACAGTGAAGAGGTTTTTCCTCACGTTGAGATGGAATTTCCTGTGTTCCAGTTTGTGCCCGTTGCCCCTTGCCCTGTCACTGGGCACCACTGAGAAGAGTCTGGCCCCATCCTCTTGACACCTGCCCTTTTGGTATTTATAAGCGTTGATCAGATCCCCTCTCAGTCTTCTCCCCTCCAGGCTAAACAGACCTGCCTCTCAGCCTTTCCTCATAAGAGAGATGCTCCAGTCCCTCTCATAGCCCTCCGCTGGCCTCTCTCCAGTAGTTCCCCATCTTTCTTGAACTGGGGATCCCAGAACTGGACACAGTAAGTGCCGGAGCGCTGGCAGCACCATGCTGCACAGACTCATCATCGCATGAAGCCAGTGCTGCAGCTGGCGTATATACGTGTGCGTGTATATACACATTTCCTGCTTTCAGGGAATTCATTCGCAGCCATCCCAGCTCTGCCGTGGCACACACCACACTGCGCCTCTACCCCCAGCTGCCCATCCACCCCTCCTTGGAGCAGGGAGCAGCCAAGCTATGGGCTCAGGGCAGGTAGACCCCAAGAAGGGGCCCAGCTTCTGCAGACCCAAATTTGGCTATTCCAAGTAGCAGGAAGCAACTCCTACAACATAATTTGGAAATAAATCCTGAATAATGTTTTGTGACAGTAAGAATGACACTGAGCCATTCGTTATTAGAGCTGTTCAACAAAACAACTTCCTAGAGATAATGAAGGAAAATTCTTAAAAGAAAAAGCTTTAAAAACCATGGAAAACATGAAGTTAGTATTCAACTTCTGAGAATGTCAATGCTTCCCTAAAGAACTACTGTATCAAATCTAATCATTAACTGTAAAAGAGAATTTGAATTCTCTTTTAAGTTACAAATTAAGTCTTATTTTAATGGGATATAACCATAAATGCACACATCTCTCTCCACAAGTAGGATAATAAGATAATAGAAATGCAAGATATGGAAACTTTTTTCTGGAAAAGTTTTATATTTTCCTGCTATGAATTTTTTATGCTTTTAGTACATCTGTATTTATATTGGGTTCATTGCCATTAACAAAAAATACTGAGACAAAAATTTACTACAAGGTATACCTGGGCACATACTCTATTGCTTCAAGCACAACTTCTCATTGATTTCGGGGAACTTTTCAAATTGCTCTGACAATCCATAACACGTGGCAACTCAGTGTATAAAACCAATCAGGAATGGTTAATATGATATATACAGAATGTTCACATTAGAGGTGCAGGATTTCCATTGATGATGAAAACATCAGAAGTGTGAGGTAACACTATGTTCTTGATATCTACTTCAAATCAGAACGCTACCACATTAAAAATGTTTAGGCAGCTTTTTTAAGCACTTGAGCAATTTAAAAGAATGAACCTCTACTCTTTTCCAAATAAATGGTGAAAGTTGAATAAAACATTGCTATTAATTCTGTGTCTCCAGCTGAACTGAATTCTCAGTTCTAATTGTCTTGCACAAAGTGACCGTTGAAAACTCCAATTTTAGACACTATCTTTAAGTTACAAGCATATACAATTTGACAAGGTGCCTAACTATTCCAAATATTATAACTTAATTCTTTCCATTAAATAGTTCATATGCTAAACATGGCTATACAAACAAGAAACAAATGTATTGCTTAGCGAAGACAAGATACAAAAGTTAACTTCAGTCACTTGTTACCATCTCTAATGACTCAAACCAGATATTTTTTGGTTGAACAATTTATTAGCTGAGGTATTTAAATATTAATAATCTTGATCAGACCATACTTTCCATTCTATCCAAACACTTGGCAAAATTCTAAATCCTAATATAGCCTTAACTTATTATCCAAACCAAACAGGAGCCATCTCCCATCTAGAAAACTATACCTACCAACATGATAGTGATGCTGCATATAATTCACCCCTATTTAGGTGTAGCCCTTGCTTCAAGGGCTTCCTCAGTTTCTGAAATCAAGGAATGCATTAAATTTTACAAGACCTGCAATGAAAATCCTGATCTCCGCCAGGTTTTACATCTAAAACACCAGAGTCCCCAGCATGGCCATTGAAAGGAGACATCAAGTAAGGTCTTTAATGAAGATACACAATGGATTCTTCTCCATCTGTGGCATGCATGCAGTCGATATCCCTATTTCCTATCAGTCTCACAACAAATACCGAAGCATTTGTCGTCCTGTCTTCAGTTGGCTCTAGCAGCAGATTTCTCACAAGATGTTATTCAGGAAGTTAATTGATTGGGATGTTCTTGTACTATTCAGCCTCCGCGTTTTAGGCAAACCAAATTTTATGACAGAAGGTGTTTCTGCTGCAAGGCAGGAAACTTTTCACTTGAAATTGTCTTTTTGCTTGTGATATTTGTGGTTTGTGACTTTCAAACTAACAAAGTAAATAAGAGAAACAAAGTATACTCTACTAGGTTATTTGGAGAAAATGTTTCAGAACACCACAACATTTAGTAAGTTTTGTCTAAACTTTCCCAGAACGTGCAAGAATCTGACTTTAGTCACATCTACAAGGATGAGGAACAAAAATAATTACAAAAGGAACATTATTTCAGAATAAGCTTTCTTTTCCAAGTCTAAAAAGCAATTTTTTCTCCTCTGGTTTTGCACCATTCCCCGAGTTAATTCACCCTTTCCAGCAGTGTACTTAGGTTATTTCTGCTGTACATGTATGCATTTACAATGCAATAGCACCGCTTTCTTCTCTTCCCTGAATGAGGAAATATGGCATGCAGGAGACAAAGAATATACTTTGCATCAGTACTAAAATACATATATATCAGATGCATAATGTAAAGTTTGTCTATGACTCACATACATCTGCTCCTATTGCTTTTACTCAATCGTACCTACACTTAATTAAAAAGGGCAGAAGAGTGCTGTTAGTCTGTGCAGTGCAACTTCAACTGGACTGCATCCCAGTTTTAAGATTCTTTACTGACTAAGTGGGTGCCTAGCAAAATCACAGATTGTCTAAATGCTCTTGCTTCTTCCCAATGCCAGCAACAGCTTAAAGCTCTACCAGACCTCTCCCTGTTGCAGACAGGCAGCAGCTACTTAGACCTCCACAGGGCTGATTTCAAAGATCATAGAATGGTTGAGGTTGGAAAGGACCTTAAAGATCATCTAGTTCCAACCTGCAATTTCAATCTATAGGTTGCATTAACCCAAAGTAAATCAATGTTTGATTTTGTAAAGCATGGCCCTTAGAGCAGAGTAGTAGACATGCTTCTTAATCTCACTAGACTAAAGGGTATGTCCTTGTACTGCAAGCGAGCTGGTATCTCAGGAAATGCTGCTGTGACCCAGTTCAGTTTTACAGATTCAGTTCCTCACCGATGCTTAAGAGCCATCCTGCATGCGTTTGGTTTGGTTGGGGTTTTTACCCTTCAAATACCAGCAAACAATACATTTAGTAACAGTTATGTTACACCTCATAATTTGACTCTTGGTCAACATAGGACAGATCACGCGTGTTGGTCCCAGGAGCTCAAAGGCAGATTTTGATGAGATTGCTGCCATTATCATTTGCCCAGTTACTTCCTGGACTTCACAACAGGACTGCCTCCCATTTCTGCTTTTTCCTGAAAATGCTGCCAGCACCTTACTGTGTGACTTGGATTCAAGCTTAACATCGTTGCCCATGGAGCATTCAGCACTTTATTGGCAGAGAGAGGGGAAACAGGCATTACTGAACAGGAGATAGAAACATAATGAGAGGTGTGGCAGGTTAAAGGTGCCTTGGACCACGACCAGGCTTGTGTTTAGATGGGAATCATAATGTTCATTCATTACTGGCAAAAACAACCCCCAAAACAGAAAAACCCCACATCCCAGCATCTTTTTGTCATCACCAAAGATATTTCATCCTGTAATAGACAAGAATTTGAGACCCACCTTTCCCCACACACAGAATTTATCCTCAAGTGTGTATGTACATGGCCCCTAGCTAACCAAATTCAATGGCTTGGAAAGGTCTATGGTTAAGTGATGCAGGTGTACTCCTGCAAGCAGTGGAGAGCTTTATCAGCACTCAGCTGTTGGCTCTGCAGTGGAGAGGAAGGCAGGGAGGGTGCAGCCCAGCTCCCCTGCCATGACTCACGCATAGCACAGCTGGACCAGAACTGTTAATGATGTTCACTAGACACCAGTGCTTCAGTATGAGAAAGTAAACTGCTTAATCAAACTTCTAGAAGTGGAAATATGCACAATTTTTCAGCAATTAATTTTCCCACGACAGATTTTCTTCCACCCACTTATTCCCCTTAATTATTTAAAACCTTCCTTATGAGGCAGCTCAAATTCATAATGGTGTAAGTCCTCCTTGCTAACAAGGCATATATTTAGTATACTCTCAACCTTGCGTCTATCTGATAGCTAGCAGACTGCCACTGTCTTTCCAGTTTTGGCTTGACAACCACATCTAAGTTAAGGATTCACACGACAGCTCTGCGTGAAGCTCCATCACTGTAGTTTACCACACGTGGAATTTTATTTTATATACACCACTAACACGTGTCCCTTGTAGTCTGGCACAGCTGAAGCCTAGTGCTAAACATAAACACGTATTTCAGTTTCACTTTTTTTTAAAACCTGAGATAGCTAATGGGAAAAGGAAAGGAGGGGGGAGAGGAAAAGAAAAGCAGGGGAGAGGAAAAGGAAAGGAAAACTTTTTTTCCTGTCTCTTTTTCAGGGGAAAAATAACCAAAAGATTTTCAACTTTCTGACCCACTCTTATTTTTTTAAATAAAAACCTAGAGAAAATATACAAAGTAGTAATATAGCAAAACCAAAACAATTTCTCTTTTTACCTTTGTTTCTACAGGTTGATCTTGCTTACTGACTTCCTCAGTTGGTTCTTCCTTCACATTAGTATTAATTTCTAGAGTTTCATTTTCAGATGAGAGCAGTGTATCACTGCTTGGAGTCCTGTAGCAGCTGTTAAGCATCTGTCCTTCACAGGCAGTCATACTTTGCAATGACTCTCTGGAAGTACTTTCTCTTTCCCCATTTATCAAGCCGCTGTTGATGGCATTATCTGGAACAGGGGTGGACATAGTGGAGTCACGATCAGGTAATCTTCCGTCCTCATCTTCTGTCTGGTCTTGTGCTACTACTCCGTTGGCTGTGTGCAGCTGTGCAACCTGAGTTTTGTCGGTATTACTGTTTCCTTGTTTTTGTAGTGGGTGCTGGGAGGGGAGTTTTGGCTGAGGTGATGGTGTTGACCCATATCTTCCTTGAGATTTAGAAATGTGGAGAACAGAGGAATCTTTCTTCAAATCACTAGGATTTAACGGGCTAAAACCACCAAACAAACAAAACATAGATGAGAGAAAAGTTAAACGTGCCGTTATAGCAAACCACTGGGACAGGGAATAAGAGAGTTGCGCCATATAAGCAATTTCTCCCAAACCATTTTTTCCTGTGTTAATACTAGGAAGTTCAGGCCATCAAGACTTGAACTGTATTATTCCATTAACACACACACAAACATGTATTTCTTACTGGAAATCCAGAGTGCCATCCATATTGATTCATTACATCCTCATGTGTCTGGAATCTCATTTGTAAAATGGAAGACAGTATGATTAGCTACACGTAACAGATAAGGGAACCAAGGCACTGATACATGAAACAACTTGCCCAAAGTGTCCCAGAAGATTACTGGCAGAAACGGAAAAAAGAGTCAGGGACTCCCTAGTCCCAGTCCAATGCTTAAACTAACAAGCAGCCTGTTCCCTAATTGCCTTTTAATTATACAAACACGTTATCCCTTGTTCATACCTTTCACTGTCTCTTTCTCTGTTTTATTTTTGAGATTTTGAATTTTAGAGTACTATAAATGTTAGCCTACTCTGCAAAAGTGCTTGCCTTCATTATAGTTTAAAAAAATAAAAATAATTGGAATCAAAATAAAACCTATACATTTTTGTCTGAAGTACATTTAACAAGCCGTAGTCAACCTGCAAAGTGATACCATGACTATCCTCTAACATATTGTTCCTAGTATGGACCATTAATCTTCTGGCAAGATGAAGACTGCTTACAAATTTTATGTTTACTTCTTATTTATAGGACAGTTTACACAAATATGATAAGCATATTCTGCACTTCCGTACACAGAGCTCAAAAAATACCTTATACTAGCTTCATCTTCTTCCATTATATAACAAATAAATTACTTTTCCTTTATTTCTATAAAGATTATATCTTTTTTAAAAAAATAAGCTTAACTCCAAGATAGAATTAATTTACATTTTTCAATTGCATGCACACAGCAAAGAGGTTTAATTAACTTTCTGCCATGCCTACATGTTTTTGGGCTGTACAGACTAATGAAAATATGTTATCATAATTGACAATCGCAGTTTGCAGTTCATGAACATGCTACCTAGTCATTTGAAGACCACTAATTACAAGCGAAGTTCACCTTCATGGAAGACACATTTTGTGAGTTGAGCTCATTTAAAAAAAACAGCAATTGCTTCCATGGCCACAGCAGGATATTCCAGAACTCTGCATGCTAATTATGGAAGTTTCTCATAAGCACAGATGATAGATTTGAGGAGAATTTAATCATTGGACAGATATTATTGGGTGTACTTAATGAATGATGTTGGCCAAAAAGCAACGCGGCTTCCCTTACTCCCCCAAAACAAAAATGCCATTATTTTTAAAAGCCTACAAATAAGAAAGTTTTCATTGCTCTCTTTATAACTTCCTTTATTCGCATAATATTGAAAGAGTTCCTGTACAAACCAGTAGGCATGCCTAAGAGGCAGAAGTGTAGGGCTCATTGCTGTAGGGCATGATGAGCATGAGGAGTTTTCTTTCAGAAAGGATAAAATTGTTTTTCTAGGGATACTGCACTGTTAAAGACTTGAATGATGCTTTGGAGGAAGACTGGGAAACAAAGTGATAACAGGACTGGAGACCTGAGCTAGAAGAATTCACAGGACCTCCAGTGCTGCAGTAATCTCTTTTTCCCATCTTTTGACAGCTGTCTTGACAGCAGTGCAATTAAGTCTCTGCCTAATGATGGAAGTTCCTGGCAGATAAAGCTCTGAAATTATTTCTATTCCACTAGCCAAACGTACTTTTGTAATGCTCAGCTGCTTCTGTATAAAGGATTAAGTTTTCCCCCATCTTGAGGGGGAATTCTTTCAATGAAAGTCTTAATACTCTGGTTCCTCAGAAGGACATGCTCTGTTGTACATCAGGCATTCATTCCCGTAGGGGGCATCCCTTCAGAACATCAGTATCCTGAGGAAACACAAGCAAGCCACATCCAAAACTTGCAACGCTCAACTGTCACTGGACTGTTTCTTGAGCTGTTCCTCTGTCACAGGCTTTCTGGAAGATGGCTCTCTTTATATAGAGTGGATATATTTGGAATTTTTGTTTCAGAGATTATAATGCTTGTCACGTACATCTAATTAAAGACACAAAAATAACACCATTTTGTGAAAGCAGAGTTCACTGTGGCTCGTGTTTCTCAAAGTTCCAAATGTTTCCCGTAAAAGGCAGTATCAAAACTCAAGAACACCAAGCTATTCTGCCAAAATCACCAAATACTACAAAGCAAACAGTTTAGAGAATGTATGCCATATCAATACAAATAACTTGTATAGTTCACCCTCTTCACATGAATGATCTGAAGAGGTTATGACAGTATAAAAGGAAACTCAGGATTTCAGTTTTTGCTATTTGCGTATAAAAGGTTTTTTTTTTTTTTCCTGCAAGAACAAAAGAACTTATTATCTCCAATGTTTCATTCTAAAATCAGCACTTATTTCAAATTGCTGACATTTTTCAGAAGATTTTAAAAATGCTACAAGTTTGGGGTTTGGTGGGTTTTTTTAATGGAAAGTTGAGACTAGCACCTTATGAAAAAGCACACCTTGTACAGGCCAAGTATATGACTGGTTTGCACCATTTCAAAACACATGCAGTTTTGCCATCCACTCCTCTGACAGGGATTGGCTTGAGCTCTACCGCGGTACAAACGTTCTTCCTCACAGGTTCAAGTTCCAACTCTCCAAACACAGCAGAGTTACAAACCAATCCAAATTCTACTACTTACCTGCCTCCCTCAAAACGATTGATGAGATCTGACACTTTACTGGACTTTTCCTTTGTGACACTAGAAACAGGGGTGGGTGTCTCTTCCTCCATTCTTGGTTTCTGATGTGATAAAGCTGTATGTCTAGGGGTTTGGTATGTAACAGGTGACACCTTCTGCAGATGAATTGGCTTTGGAGGCACTGTAAACAACAACAACCACCAGTCAATCACTCATGAACGGTTTCTTTGATCTGACAGAACGTATATGAAATTTTTTGCATAAGAACTTACTACAGTGATAAAGAAAAGATGCTCTTGGCGTTACTTAACCTTAAAGTTGCTTTATGAATACAGGGACTCCATATAGGTTTTTTCTGCGCTGTCTGGTATCAGGCATCTTGTTACATTTCTTGGATAAAAGTGGAACCACGTGTTACTTTAACAAGCTAGAAAATTAGGGGGGTTTGTTGTTTTGCTTGGCAAACACATACGTGGCCTCCGTAAGTGCAGTTTTTATAAAAAAAAGAAGTAAGCATAATCAGAGGATCTAGCTGTGCTGTGGAGCTCAAGAGATTTAAATTGCTGCCCCAACACTCTGGTGCTGTCATTCTTTACCTTCCCCCTCACGATCTCAATAATAATAGTCAGTGGAAAAGGTGTTTGCCTTCAGCTTTGAGCTTCCTTTACTCACTGAACCTTTGTCTATTTATACTGCTGAAAACCTGCGCTCCCCCCAATATTTTTTATTCTTCTTGCTTTTTCCCCATTCCTACCATAAGCCCTTCTAATTAGATTGCTGATGATCAGCATTGTTTAATGCAGCAGACACATTGACACATAAAGCAACTAAAATCACACGTGCTGGGGATATTTAACTTTTAGCCCTTTAAGCAACTACTTAAAGCAGCAAAAGCATTTCAGACAGGACCTGAATGTGTTCCACTACAAGAGCAACACGCATCCGGCTCCTTCAAAGTGCAAGACTTAAGGGAAAGGTCCTTAATTCCCAAGAAAACAAATCTGCTCATCCCCACACACGCTCCCAAAATATAGTGTGAGGAGATGCAAAAGCATTTGATATTGAAGTGAAAAATAAAGACTATATCTGCCCTTTAATAAAAGGCAGGCATAAATCACCAGGAGTAGGCAATGTACTGCCAGTGGAACCAGTGGCTCGGCCACCACGATCCCACATGCCACACACACTCGCCCTCCAGTAGCTACACACACCTGCCAGGGAGCAAACACAAAGGGAAGGAAGACAGGAACTGGCATTAGGAATCACATGTCACTCATGGTAGAAAAATAAGGACTAGTACAGGATACACAAAAGATGGATGTGAAAAAGCCATGTTCCTTGCATCACTGACTCTAGAATAGCTTATTGACTTACCCTGGAAAACCAGTGCACCACAGGAATTACCTTACATCCCATCAGCTGGCATTCGAAAGGGGTGTTGAAAAACTTCTTGCACATATACTATCATAGACTATGATAAACTTGAAGGAACACTTGATAAAGGACAACTTTCTCTCTCTACCTTACTTTAAATTTATAGGAGGTAATACTTATCTGTCCTTCTAATAACTTAATTGCACTTAAGTGTGATTGTAGGGATCATCGAGTCATGAGGGACTCTATGAAGAAATTAATGTACCACAAAAAGCTTTAGACTTCAACCATATCAATGTCAATAAATGAAATAATCAGAGAGAGAAGGAAGAGAATTAGCGTAGATCAGATGCGTTTACTGTGTATACATGTATCTTTGGTCCTTTGAAGCTTTAGTTTATATTTATTAACACAAGTGAAAAAGCAAGTTTGGGGAAGGACGGAGTGCAGAAAGGATGACTTAAAATACTGCAATTTTCAAAAAGTTACAATGCAGTCCTGAAACAAGCAGAGTATTAAATTGTGTAACTGCTTGAGTATCTGTAGTAACTGAAGCCCCTCCTGAGAAGCTGCATACATTTGCTCAGCCGCAGCTGCGGTGCAGTGGAGCAGCTTTCCCTATATTTCCTCTTCTCAGGGAGTTCGGAGAAAGTCTGGCAGAATTAGGCCAACGAGCATCAGATAATTGTCCAAGCGCTGAACAGCTAGCTTGCTGTGCTGACAAAGGCGATGGGACAGCTGAAAAAGGCGACACAAGCAGGCTGGGAAAAAGCAGGACACATAATTGAGCGTGGGCACTGCCATTCCCTCGGGGAGGAGGCGGAAGGCAGAGGAGACGCTGGCTGGATTTACTGACCAGCACTACGTTAGTTTGTAGAAACACTTCTTGTTCTTGCAATGGATTTTGTATAACCCACAGACCTGTGAATTCTCTTATTTAATGAACTCATACATCTCTTCAGTTCTTTTGTATGTCTCATAAAGTGTTAATATCCTCACAAGGATATATTAAAACTACTAAACTTGAGGGAATTAGTGTCTACTGATAAAGCAGAAGGAATTAGTTGGAAGCTATTTTTATACTGGATCCACTGGAACAAAAATCAAATTCTAGGACAATCTGTGGAGGTGTCGTACAATTTTGCGGCTATTACTGGAAAACCGCCAGCTTAGCAGCATTTCAGTAGAGCAAGCGTGAGGAACCTCTAGTCAACCTGGACAATCCCAGTGTATTGAAAATCCCTGTAATGTCTTCAGAGGAGAACTACAAACCAAACAGCCACACCAATTCAGTAACGCAAGATATTTTCTTCTTTACTCCTTGTTACCACCTTAACAGACAGCATTTTCCCTAATCAGCTGCTGCAGCAACTACTGTAAGTTTTAGAAATAGAGCAATGGGAAAAGGATAGTCACAAGATCAATGAAAAGAAAAGAATCAGTAGTGTAAAAAAAACCAACCATGCAAACCTTTCTGTAAGGTCAACCTTGTTAACAGGGATTAGGGAAAACAAATTCCTTTAATTCTCCCCTCAGTGTACTTCTGTAGTGTTTTGGTTTAATCAGATTATTTTTCAATGTGCACACAGCAAGGATCTTAAAGAAAAAATAGAGAAAAGACTGTCCCATTGTAATACCCTGCATAATACAGAGCTCTGTTTGAGTCTATAAATTCTCTTGTCTCTATATTGTAGAATTTTGAGCTCATTAGAAGATATGAACTGCATACGCTGCCCAAAGAAAACCACTCAGTATGCTCAGGTAGCTGCTACTGTAGAATGTTAGCCAAAATACCTAATCAAGATTTAAGCTGCAGTGCCTAGTTGTGCATTCAACTGTGTAGATATACATAAGGAAATGGGAGGTAATGCTACAAATGGCTCAAAATGTGCAACCACCTTTGCTGACTCCAAAGCATATTAGCAAAGATCATTTATCTCTTCTCTTAAAAAGTATAATGTGTTCAATCACCCTCTATGCATTTAACTGCTCCTGGTTCAAAATGCTGCTAGGCTTTGATTCAATGAAAATACACAGTTAAAAGTTACTGTGGTAAGCAAGTACAGCTCTCCTGGCTGAGTCATCCTTCATCACCTCCCTGCATGCTCCGTCACCTTCAGGAAGATCAAATGAGCACAGCTGGATAGATACCAAAGATTTACACTCACAAGAACAGTACAAAATAACTAGTAACCTAGACTCAGCAGAAAAAGTAATCTCCTCTTTAGGATGTACATTTCCACATTTTTATATCATATATGAATAATAAGAATATAATACATTAAGAAAGAAGATCAATAATGATGATCAGATATGCTTTGTTCTCTCATTTGTTGTCTTCCTAGAGATAAGGTTTGGGATTTAGCAGTTATGTTGATAAAAGAGACATTGCTACAGGTTTCTTAAAGCACCACTGAGATTGGAGAAGACTAGCTAGAAACAGCTCTCAAGTTTTAGTTCAATTCACCTTTAATTGTCAAAGTTTCATTTGCCAGAGAAGACCAGTCTACATCCCAGACCCCTTTAAGAGGTCTTTCAGTTCTTTTGGGCCCAGGCCACTGAATACCTTCAAAACCTCAGACTATATTATAATTAACTGAGAAAGGAGGACAGGATTAATGCTACACAGTAGATAGTCAGCTAAAACTGACTGCTGAAGTCTACGTGTTGAATGCCTTGTCTCCATATCACATCAGAGTAGCACAAACCAGGCCATCTTCTGGAGTGGAAAAATCATCTCCAACCCAAACAAAAATGCCTCTTCAGCCTCAGCAGGAGATTCACAAGTACTCCTAAGCACTCATTAGAAAAATTTAATTGAGCAACTGATGCACAGTCTTGAGCTGACAAGACACTTCACTGCTTTGAAGAAGTGTTGATACGTCAACATGTTTTCCATCCTACAATAAAACTGCCTGGTACAGACAATGGTTTCAGTGCCCAGTACTTAGTAACTGGGCATCATAAAGCTCATGCAAGAGGTTCAAAGAGCAGGGAATAGAAGAAACCAGAAAAAAACCTGGTCAATTCGTACATGTCACTCTACATGCATTCTGTTATTGCTAGGTTCAGATCACTGCCCAAATATTTGTAGGTAAGGGCAAATCTCAAATTACCTAACAATTTGCTTCATCTCTCGTGCATCACGTTTGCCTTGGAACTCAGTAGCGTATTTTGCTATTTCCACTGACTACCATCAGTCTGGATTAACCCACTTTATCAGAGATGCAAAGGCAAACACCACGTTTCACAGCTGGTGCAGATTGCGACTGCTTTTCTCTGCAGTCCTGATGTCTTTGCTTAATTCCCTCATAGGCCTTCAGTCAGTTACAGGCTTTTTTCCAAACTTGCAAAGATTTTCACAAATCAAACACAGAAATCTGACATATGAATTGCTAAATTGTTGATGGAAGGAATTATTGGGGAACAAAAATTGCTCCTTTACTGTCCGTGTATCCGGCAGCTACTTTGTTTTCTCCTTGAAATGTCAGGGGAAAATAATGAAAGAATTTTATATTGGATTCTGTGCAAAAATTTATTCATTTGATCTAGTTACCCTGAGTGATCTGTTTCCAAATATTTAAACTACTTCTCAGAGACCAAGTACAGACAAAACAGGTTCAGAGCCCAGGGTTCACTTCAAATGCAAGATTTTTGACATTTTTCCTCTATATTAAAGCTCTATTTCCTCTATTAAAGCTAAGTCTAAGTTTACTAAAAATATCCGTACCCCATTTGTAACACAACCTCGAAGTCATCTTTGTATCTCTCATTTTAATTATATACATTTTGGTAGGTTAGATGAAGGTCATTTTGCAGTTAGTTCATCAACAACCAAATACACTGTCATTGCAATTCAGGTCTGTTTTCACTATGAAAGGACACTTAGTATTTGCATGACTAGAACAACCATTTGGAAAAAACATTTCCTGCTACTATAAACCAAAAGCATTTCTGTACCTGTACGTGACAAGCTGTTAAAAAAAAAATTAGCGACCACATTTAAACCAATAAACTAGAGCAGTTTAGTTTGCTTGAATTGTTTGGACTCCCAAATCCTTATCTCATTCATTCTATTTTGTTTTGCTTCAATTAAATAAAAAGGCCAAAAAGATATAACTTCAATATGATGCACATATTTAATACAATTAAACGGAAAAAGACATAGGCCCATGAACAAAGCAGGCACAAAATACTATTTACAACAGTAGTATTGAATATAATCTACACAGATGCATTTCTTAGACTACAACACTATTCCTGGCTATGCCACATTTTGGAGCAAGCAATTTTGACAAACGCAGAAGTCATGGCTAGGAAAGAGCAACAACAGCTGTGTAACTACTTGAATGAATGGGGTCCAATAATATCCAACTCCTAATTTAAACAGCTAAAATTTATAATAAGTGAGCTGGTTTTGTTTTTGAAAGGCTTAAAATCTTTTTTACTGATTGCCCATTTCTGCGTATCCATTAACAAATTGCTAAAATATTTTTCTTAGGAAGAACACGTGTTCTCTTGTTCACTTAGCTTCAGAGAATGCATTTCAGAGACTTAGGAACTGGTGCAGAAAGACTACTCAGATAAGTAATGTTTACATATAACCAATAAAAACATCTTAGTTTAATGAACAATACTGGCAAAAGTTCTATAATAACAAATAATATGAAAAAATACAGCTTTATTTTGCTCCTGTTCTCCCTAAGAAAACATAACTTTTTGACACCACAATACATTTCTTCCCCCCTTAACTCTAAGATGAACTCAGGACTGATGCAACACTCTTCAGGATTCATTTTCCCACTAATTGATATAAAGATTGTTAAATTCACTACATGATGACTCTATGTGATTCTACTTTCTATACATGATTTAGATGTGATCTAGTTTTCTATAAGTAATTCTAGTTTCTGTCCTATCAACACTGTGTCTCAGAATACAATTCCCTGAGCAGGATCATTGTATCCATCTTCTAACCTCACTTTTTTCTTTTTTTTTTTTTTTTTTTTTTAAAGCTTTTGAGATGAATGAAGTTCCTATTGCAGGTCACTACTAAAAGGCATCAGTCCAGATTTGCTTTGAATCCAAGATTTTGAGAACATATTGACTCTTTGTTGTGATCATCTTCAGTGGAATCATGAATATTACTGAGAAGACCACATAAAAAGATGGTTTGAGGTTTAGATATATAAAGTCAACATGTAGGGTGACCTATTTAACTTATAAAAGTGAAGATACTATTTATGGACCGAAAGAAGGGAAATCTACTTCTACTCTGCAGACATTATTGGTCAGCTTTTCTGCACATGTGGAAAGTTCCCATCTTTCCACATACGCAGGAGGGCTCCCCTCGAGCTCGGCTAGCACCCCAAAGGCCCTGAGTATCTTCCCCACCAGCCCCGCTGTGAAGCCAGCTTGCCAAACAATCCAGTTCAAAATCAGTATCAAAACCTTCCAGCTCAAACACAGTAATCCTTTGGAAAAACAAGCCCTGGCGTCAATTTAATACAAAGGAGGGGCTTACACACGTTCTCCCACCTCTACCTACTAGCCACTTCTTGGGCAGAGAACAAATTTAACACTCGCTGCCTGGCAGTAACGCACAGGAAATTACTAGACATTTGAGATAAAAAAATGTAGCTAGACCTACGTGCTTGCAATATATCAGTAAGTTCAACTTTCCTTCTCAGAACCTTTTTCAGCAAATTATTATCAGAAATTACAGATTCATAAAGCATTTACAGAACATTTGAATTTCAGTAGCAAGCTTTTACCCCGCTATTTTCTTTCTGACAAATACAGTTCTTTCAAGGTGCTCTATTTCTCAAAGTCTGAGATGAAGAACAACTTCCCTAGCAAAAATATTTGAGGCTACTTACCTTGTGGCTTTGGATTTGAAGCTGAACGTGGGGACTGTTTGACTGGCACACTTCCATTTATTCCCTGAGCCGCTTCATTGTATACATTCTGCTCAACTAGCCTGGTTGTGGCACTCGTACAAGATCTAGGTAATATTAAGGATTTTGGACAGATGCTGCTGCCTGAAAAACAAATACATACAAAAACCCCAAGAATTAGAAACAGGATTAAGTATAAGGTAGAACATGTATAAACACATTTATTAAGTGCTAACACTTCTCTACAGAGAAAATTAGAATACTCATCTTCCCTTTAAGAGTGTCTCATCCTAAAAACACACTTTGCCTTTCGGTGAAATTTATTACATTGTTTAAACCTTGAAGAACTGGATATAAAAAAAAAAAAAAAAAAAAAAAAAAGACTTCCACTATCACTAGCCTAAGCTCTTCTATACAAAGATTACAATGTCTTAACAGACTTTTTTCCTATCTGAATTGTCAATGTGCTTGTTCAACAGAAGAATTATAGAAAAAACTAGCATTTTTGTTCAGCCACTCTATTTCTGTATTCAAAGTGTTCACAAAATGGTATACATTCATTTTATTACAGAAGGTAGCATCCAAATATTAGCTAAATGTATTGCAACTTTTTGTAGGAAAGGGCTCCTATTGGGAGTAATAAAGAAAGAAAGAGAGAAAAGCACAAAGCCAGTTGACTCTTCTATTTCATTTCTTCCTAGAAGAATGGAAATTATTCTGTTTAAGAGCATCAATATGCTGCTATTGGTAAGAAAGTCAGAAGAAAATATAAAGCAAAACATATTCAAACAATGAAAATTGTAATAAAAGCACTTATTAGAACATTGTTACACAAGCCTAAACCATGCACTTTTGTTTGGGGGTCTGAAAGCAATTGGTTTTGTAAATACAATCAAAAACTTGTAATAATAATATGAAGGACCTTGAGATATCACTTATGCCAATATTCATTCATCTCTGAATAAAAAAAAAATCCACAACATTTTTGTGGGGAGGAGCAAGGGAAAGGAGGAAAACCCATTTATTTATTGCAGTGTTGTCATAATTATTCAATTTAAAAAAAAAAAATATTAGGATAGAGTTTGGACACTTCAATTTACTGTTATTATTTGCCATCCTTTTACCTTTGCTAGATTTTACTAGTAGAAATGCAAGCACGAGCAGAGTTTTCTTTACAAGTTTCCAAAAAAAGCAAATCCAAAAGCCACTCAACTATTTCATAAGGTGATCCTTTGATGTCTTCTGAACAACAACTGGTCTGCAAAGTTTAGTCCCTCTAATCTAATTCATCTCTCCCTCTCATGGCAAAATCCATCAATATCAAGCCATTCCTAGCAACAGCCAAGCCTGCTCTTAGAACAGCAGTTGAAAGAGAAGCCATAGCTATTGCTCAACGCTGCTGCAAGATTCTTCAACTTTTTCTGGATTCCAAAAATATTTTCAAGTATTTATGCTTTGTTTATTAGAAGCTCATTTTTCCTTTTAAACACTGAAGTAGCCCTACACCAAGAAGCTGGCTTTACAAACATGGAGACTTGCAGATCTCCATGGCAAGATCAACAACCCACGCTACCAAAGTGCCAGTACTCGGATGACGATGCATGCAAGACACCCGCAGCTGCAACATGACATCTTTCCCTCTTCCATCCCATTCAGTTAGCAAAGCATCTCCCAGGAAGATAAAGGTGGCTGGTCCCAGAATGATGCAGGTAATCTAATGAGGCCCACTACATACAGAAGCTTCTCAGACATTTGTGACCTTAGGCAGAAATTCCTCAGCTCTGTTTCCTTGGGTATCACTCAATACACAAAAAGTTATATTGTACTCCAGCAGTGGGAGCTCTGTCCCACATCATTCCGCAATGACTAAGGTACCTTAAGTGCCGTTTCTCTTTTTTCTATGGAGGTGTGAGTACTGGAAGCTCCTAGACAGACCAAAGTGATGGTATAGGGGGTTGTACCAGTAAGTCTTCCTTGTCTCCATCAAAGAGCTGACAGGCTGAATTTCCCTATCCTACAGAATCCCATACCACACTGTAGCAGTTTACACTCCAATTGGGGAATCCCCAATTCAAAAACAAATTTAAGAAAGAGTAACACCTGCAGGATCAATACAATGCACAAGTCAGGTGGCAACTGCACATAATTTATAAATCTACATTCAGATCACTCTCATAACTTTGCAATGAGGGTGAAAGTTTGAAACCTTACAGCTTTCTGAAAACTATTTTGCCTGCAGATTTGACAACTTCTGTGCTTCAAAATCTCCACCTCCCCAACTGCAGCTCAGTAAGGGGCATTGCTGCTGTCAATTGTTCAGGCCAAGGCTGGAAATCTCCATCAAAATGGTACCATATTTATTAAAAGGATTCCCTAAGAAAACAAGGTACTGCTGGGGTCAGAATAGGACCTTTTTCTACACGCACGACTTTATCAAGGCACTTATTCCTGTTTAAGGTTACCAGTCATGATCACTTTAAGATGAGGTGGATGCAGAGCTGCTGCTGAGAACAGGGCAGCTCTGTGGTCTGCCACTCCTCCTCCCTCCTCAGCACCATCCACTCCAGCTTCTGCTTCTGGCTACTCCTTCCACTATGCCGGCACCAGTGCTGTTCAGCCACATGGTGAGATGAGCAGCAGAAAGGACGCAGCTGAAATCTGAAGTAGATCGGTTTGACCTCATGGCCACCCCAGCACTACTGCTGGCACAGGGGACAGCCAGGAATATGGCTGGAAAGGAACAAGACAGCTCCTCGCAGCGGTGGCCCTTACTTAGATTGACCTGAAGCAATCATTTAACACAACCTCAGTCCCTCAAGTAGATTTTCAGACTTGGATTCTACTTGGTTTATATGTGCATGCACACAGCCTTAATACAAAGTCCAGCAAAACCAGGAACAGCTGAAAACAAACTTTTAATGCAAAAACATTAGGCTGTCTTAAGACTCAATTTTGTTGTCAGCATCGCGTGCCTCCCACTAGATTGGCAAATATTAGTTGTGTTCAGTGGGCAAAAGCCATTTTGTAAAGCTTATCCACTGTAAAGGAAAACCGTAACACAAGCAACAGAAACGATCGCTTCTCTGTAACGGGATCTTTTGCAACTGCTTATGAAAAACAAAAGCTCTGAGAGGTGTTCTGACCCAAGATGTGCTGTCAGCACGTGTGGGGTGCAGGGAAACAGACCGTCTTCAAATTCATTACTGTTGTACAAGCCATTACGCAAATTATTCATCCTGTCTGGAAGGCTTATTTGCTGGAGATGGACACACTACAGACATTTAACCTATATTGCAAACTAGTAATTCTGTTAATCATGTCACATCCTCAAGCCGTGTGTTTTGAAGAGTAATATAGCCACATCAAGATGAATAGCTTTCATCACATGTAAAGCTGGAATGGAAAAAGGTAATGGAAATCTAGCCACACCATACTACTTCTATAGAAAATAGAGTAGTCAGATTCTCTGGATAAAAAGCATCCTTTAACATCCTTGGAAATCTGAGCCCTGGTTTCTAGCCAGTGAAAGATATTACCTTCCAGGTGACGCAGACCAGAAAATTGTGGCAAAAATATAGGAATTTTCACCACAGACTTGTATTTAGTGTATTGTATGCAAATGCATTATAACAAAAGCCCACAACGTGTCATTTTCAGCACATTACAAAAATACCAAATACTTGCTGTGCAATCAGTGGCATGCATTTCAGTAAGGCTGCTCAATTCCGTTGATGTAAGCAAGCAGTAACACAGTCTGCCTTTTAGAAATACAGTTGTTGCACTATAAGTACAACTTAAAATCCCATTATATATGCATCAAGTCAGATATGCTGCAAAAATCTGCAGCTTTTACTGGGCTGAAGTAGATTCCCATTGTGATTATTTCTGACCTGGTTAAAGAAACACTTGTGTACTATTGGTATTCCTACGCATTATAATTGAGAAATTTTACTTCAAGTCAGAAATGCAGTGTGCAACAAAATACTACCACTCAGTTACTGTGTTCACTAGTATATGATTAATACCACCCCTTATAATTGTGGATGATTAAAATACACTGAAGAGAAGAGAAAGGTGTGGAAAAGTTAAAAAGTAAGGTGGGAACAGGCAAGAATGTAAGCGAGAAAGAGGAGGTAATAAATAACTAACAGAAAAGAGAAATAAACACTGTAAATCTGATAAACACTTAATTATTTTGCTTATCTGCAAGGAAATGAGAAGCTAGAATGCTTGCAAACATGCTTGCATCTGCAAGAATATTTGAAGCTAGGTGATGCATTATCTATTTTTCAGAGCATTCTAATTAGAAATAACTTGGAGCCATGAACATTTAGGCAAACATAACCAGCCCGCTTGAAATGCCAGTAACATGGAGGGGGGGAGGGGGGAAGGCTTATTTACATTCACAAAAGGTTAAACTAATGCTTTAGTATCAGATGGGTCCTCCATCAGCAGTTCCATAAGCTTCAAGAAGACAATCTCAACACCACTAGGTCTTCTGTTATATTTCTTTTCAGTCCTGCTTATAGCACATAGTGCATCTATACTGTTCCAGCACTATTTCATTTTTACTGCTATCGTGATCCCACTCTTGACCATACATTCTGAATAAAAGAAATGCAGCATTTCTGGATGTAACCAAAGTCTACAACCCTGGGAAAAGGGTTATTCTCTTGAGATTGCCAGGAGGGAAAAAGAAGTCTCAAAGTTACTTCTTTTAAAATTATATAGCTATATATACCTTGCGTGTTAAGTCCCAAGAACACCTGCCATAATGGTTGTGGTCTTGATGTTCTACCGCTAGATCTTTGCATGTAAGATCAATGCAAAGCTTCACCCTTCCTACTCCCTTCCTGGACATACGTGGAGGTTCAGCTAATAGTCTATCTACCAAAGCACTCGTTTAGCCACCATAACCCAGCATTACAATCTCCTGATCAGTTCAGAAGAGCACTAAGTAGCACTGATGCTACAAGAGGCTAATTCCACTCATCCACTTACACACCAAACACTACAGGAGCTGTAGCAAGGCCAGGAGAAGAGAGGGAAGCTTCCTGAGCACAGGCAAGAAGGCAGAAATTGGCCTCTCGCCCACACAGTTACAACAACAGATTTGTTGAGGCCTGAGCAGGA